ACTGATTCCAACAGATTTCTGTGCAGCCTTCACCACTCTCTGCAAAGAGAGTGTGGGTGGAAAAGTGAAAAAAAAACAAGAAAATACTCACAAAATTCACTATAAATTAAAGTCCATTTTGATACAGAACAGTAATTTACTAGATTCACAAAAAAATGCAACATTTATTGCAAGCAAATACTTTATTCAGTAAATGATTTATATACTGTATATATATATATATATATATATACATATATATATATTTATTTATATATACATTAAAAATATTATGAAAACTTTGCTTTAAAAATTTGATAAAAACTAACATTCTAGTGTTTTTAAATTTTGGATCTTAAGAATTCATTCAACCTTTATTTATACATGGAGAATTCCTCCAAAAATAATTGTGTACTTAAAACAAATCATAGAAAAGAAATTGATCAGTTATCTTTTTCATCACAAAGGGAGGAGAACCAGAAGATGGTGGATGTGATCTTGAGCCGCCGGGAGGACTTTCAAGTGTTTGACACCTACATCTCTGAGTACGATCGCAGCATGTCCTTACTGGAGGAGAGCTGCAGGAACAACTCCACTTTTGCCAACATTGTCAAGAAATTTGAGGTAATCAACAGAGAAACTTGTACCTGATGGGGAAAAAGTTGCCTCGTCTTTGTTACAGTTTGTGGAAGTCATTTTATGATGCCAAAAGAAGAAAGAATTTAGTGTAAGGTTCTTCCTTAAAAGAGAAACTAGAGCGGGGCTATTCAACTGGTGGCCTGGGGGCCAAATCAGGCCCATGGATTAACTCAGTTTGGTCCAACAATGGGTTAATTTTAAATAAAACTACATTTTAAACCATAAAACAAACTTACTTAATGACAATAATTGTTGGATGTCCAGCCCCTGAGCTCTTGGCTTTTATTAAGTGTGGCCCCCGGAGCAGCTTGTATGTAAAAGTGCTACGTGTTGTCATCAGTGTATGTTTCCATACAATGACAAAATTAGTTCTCTGCATTTAACCCATCACACCTGAGATACTGTACACCCAGGTGGAACTGTGGACAGCTATAGGCGCCTGGGGAGCAATTAGGAATTACCGGTAGGTTTCGTGCTTAAGGATACCCCGACGTGTGGGCATGGCAGGAAGTTGAGCTGCGGCGTTCTGGTCCCAAGTCGGGTGTCCTACCTCTACACCATCTTGGCCCCTTTTAGTTGAAAAGTCCTGAACTAGAGGATGTATTTCTACCCAAGTTTAGATCTCAGATTTTCTTTTGATGCTAGTTTTTCAGGATAGATCCTCAGAGCAGACCTCAAACTTTACCACATCCAATGGTAAAAAAGGGTTGTAAGCTCAATCATCCAGGTAGATGACAACAAAAAAGATTAAATCATGTCATCTGGACCAGCTTCTTTAAGTGAGAAACGTTTCATCTCCCATGCAGAAGATTTTGTCAGTCTACAGCCTGCCAACCAGACCTGACCCATAAGTAGCCTTCACTGCTGTGCTTCAAGCCAACCTCCTGGTGGAATCCCAGAAACAGGCTTTAAACATGTGCAAACAGAGCACACCTGTCCAAAACAATCAATCATCATGAACTGCAATCATGCCCAACTTGCCTATGGGACAGATCTGGTTGGCAGGCCGTAGACTGAGGGAGTCCTCTGGATGGGGGACAAAACATTTCTCACTTTAAGAAACTGGTCCAGATGACACGATTTAACCATTTTTGTTGTTATCTACCTGGATGATTGAGCTTACAACCCTTTTTCTGAACCACTTTGGCCTTGGTTGTCCTCAGGCTGTTTCTGGGAGTAGCAAGTTGGCCATCTGGCCTAAAACATTTGATTGCTGTACATGATGATTGATTGTTTTGCATGTGTTAAAATCCTACTTCTGAGATTCCAACAGGAGGTTGGCTTGAAACACAGCAGTGAAAGCTACTTATGGGTCAGATCTGGTTGGTAGGCCGTAGACTGAGGAAGTCCTCTGGATGGGGGACAAAACGTTTTTCACTTTAAGAAACTGGTCCAGATGACACGATTTAACATTTTTTATTCACATCAAATGGTATTTTTGTCACCCAAAAACCACTGGGAGACCATGGCCTTTCTGCTCCTCTTCATGGACCTGACCTTTCAACTGCATGTTTTGTAACCCCACAACAAAATACTCAGTCCCTGTCCGGCGCGGATTTCTTTTCCTCTGACAACAGGGATTTTAGATGTGTTAGAGACAGGCTCAGCTTATCATCGTCACAGCTATAAACAAATTCTGCTTCTTGTCTCGTTTTCGCTCCTGTGCTGTTTCCATGAATGTTTGTGCTTCGGAGCAGCCGGTTCATCTTCTCGCTTTTCTACCAAAACGGATGCAAATTCAGGCGTTCCACATTGTCCGCTGATTGGCTGCAAATCGCTGACATAATAGGTTTAGGCATCTCTAGTTTGATATAAAAAGCAAACAGACAAGATGCCAACTGTCTGAGCTCATACATATTCAGCAGCAGCTGTGTCCTCCCAGAAAAGTGCAGCTCCCGTCTGACTGTGGACCGAACACCGGCCTTTGGTTCTCCGATGGAAACATTTACCTCTCGATTAGTTTAATCATAAATATGTTCATTAGCTAAAATTGCACCATGACAAGTCTAGTAATGTCAGTTTTTCTCATTTGTTGGGTTTGCGTTTCATCAACTATATATATATATATATATATGGTGTTTTAATGTTGTGGTTATTTTTAGATTGCTGCTATTTTCCAGCATAATTATGTGAGTTTGATGGATGCTCTGCTGAATCCAAGTGTTGCCTTGGGATTTGCATGGAGTGTGTGCCCCCTCGGTAATGAGTGGGAAAGGGGCACAAAACACACAGTGTCTTCCACCAAAAGGGACGACGGTCATTCATCTGTTGTTTCCGAGGCGCACGCTCACAAGTCCCTGGAGTGAACGCTCCCACATGCAGCGCGCTGTTGTTTGCGTGTAATCAGAAACTCATGTCCCTCAACACCTCTTCCTGCCCACGTTTACCTTTGGCCGCTACAGGCCAAAGCCCTGTGGTATAAGTGGTAGTAATTTCATTGTGGACGTGGTGATGACAGTGATGAAGTAGCTTTAGTCCCTGATCAGATCAGAGCTCGACCCTTACAGGATTACAGCCTCCCCTCAACAGCCTGTTTACTGCACAATCTATAAACACTGGGCACAACACTGCTGGCTGTGTGCGCGTGCATGTGCGTGCATGTGCAGCCCAGGTGGAGAGCAGGAGGCAGTGCAGCAGGTGGACAGAGAGCGATAGAGGGAGAGAGCGATGGAGAGAATTTCTTGTAAAGGCAGCTGAGCAATGAGGCAGACAGAAGCTAATTAGAGAAGCAGCCTCCTTTACAACTCCCCAATTAGATCAGTGTGCATGTGTGTGCAGGGTGGGGGTTTGTGCACGTGAGCAGCAGATCGTCTGGCTGTGAAAGAGTCTGAGATGTTTGTCTCATCCTTATTCTCTCCTCCGTTTGGTTTGCGCGCCCAAACAAACCATGAGCTAATTATCGTCTCTGGAACGATGCGTCCTCTGAACAAGTGTCAACTGGGTGACAATTTACAAGAGACACTCGACGAGAGCGGATGTTCCGCCAACAAGCGAGGGCGACAACATGGAGCTCGTGTGTGCGCTGCTCATCGAGTAACGGGCTGGAGAAATAACAAGACACAGAGGCTGAAGAGGATTTAAAAATATCAGTTTTTTAATAAAAAACTTTCTGGATTTTAGTTTGGAATCCTGATAATAAAGAATGAGCTGTTGTCTAATTAAATCCCTTCTCTTTACAGGGCTGTTCAGTGTTATCTCTCAACCCCAGCTCTGTGTGATTGTGTATTTGAGCCTAGGTGTGAAGGGATATATCATTCACACTTTTTTACACGTGCGCGTGTGTGTAAAGTGTGTGTGTGCAGTATAAATAAAGATGAACATGCTGTTTTCCCGCAGGGTGCTATCTGTGCCTCTCTAATGAAGGATAGGACTTCATTGGATTAGAAAAGACTGTGTGTGCGTGCGTGCGTGCGTGTGTGTGACCCCGTTGCTCCTGTACCTCTCCGAGCATAAATACCTGTCAAAGGCAATTAGATCCTGATTGATTTTCCAATGTGCTCTTTGATAGTGCCACTTTTGGTCCTTTTTCCACCTGCAAACAATAGTCTATTCTGCTTTTTTTGTGCACATGAAGGTCACCCCGAAAGACAGAAATCCCTCGGTCACAGCTGACCTTGACTTGCACCTGAGGATTAAACAATAACCCACACAGGGAAGACTGAGAATCTCTTGGTGTGCCTCATGGATACCCTTAGATACTGAATTTACTCATATTTAATGTAGCAGATCTGATCAAATATCTTTGCTGAGTGACATTAAGCAATTCGGTGTGAAAGAGGCATAAAATCATTTCCATGTAGAGAGCTAAAGATAACAAATGTGCGTGAATGCAAATTAAAGTACAACTTAGATGTTTGTGTTTGTGCAGAAAAAAGACCCTGAAGAAGTTCCAATGAACCATCAGCTGCTGCAGGTTGTTGTCAGAGTACTACAGTATCGAATGCTGCTCACAGGTAAACACATCAACTCAGAAACTTCCACATCTGGCCTGTTGGCTTTGAAAATCACCCACTGTGTTGGCTTTAAAGTGATCATTCAGATATTTGTTGTGGGGTTCATCAGAAAGGTTATGAACGCTCTCTTACATTTTCTTTGAACAGCCTCAGATCGAAGAAACAGTTCAGTTTTGAGCAGATTGATGAGCTAATGGCTAGTCTGAAAACCTCCAGTCATAAACAATATATAGCAGTTCATGTAAACACTATTTTATCAACATCTACATTATCCACAGTTTTACAGTACACAGATGTTTTTTTAACAAAACGTTCTGTGAAAATAGCAGCAGCAGCTGTAGTCTGGGGTACTTCTGTAGGTACATCATAATATTTCTGCCAGAATAAAGATGTATGGATGAAATACAAAACTGACATTATCACAATTGCATAAACTGCTCATAGGTCTTAGCTCCACTTAGACTAGCTGTTAGCTCGTCAGTCTGGTCAACTGAACTCTGTTTCTCCAGACTGAGGCCACTCAAAAGTTATCTACAACAGGTAAGATATTAATTGTTAATATTATGCCCACAAAACCTCACTTTAAAAGATGTTTGCTTTAAAGAAACTTGGTGTGAGCTCATGCTAACTAAAGCTAATGGAGAGCAGAATTATTGAGAGAGGTTAAGTTTGGGTTAGCGCCACTACATTACATATGTCTTCCAAAAAATGTGTTTAGAAGCTTTTATGCACATCTGTACAATATACTATTATCACAAGTAGAGTTTAGATTATATATATATTTTTTAAGGTTATTTGTACAATACACAAGAGAAGACTGTGACCCATTAATGTGTAACCTGTGGTTTTATTCTAACCCGCGTCATGCCCTTCATGCTAAAACCATTCTTGACTTACAAATGATCCAGAATGATCATCAAAAATAAACTCTATGACTGAATCTTGAATCCTCCATCACACGATTTAGTCTTTTCAAAGACAAAACTGTCACCAACCAACAAGCTGAGACTATATTTTATGTACCAGTTAATTTATCTTTACCGTAAACAGCTGGATGCATGTTTGCACTGTTGGCTGTGTTTATTTTTACATCACTGCAACATTTTTTCTTCTAACACAGAAATTTTCAGGAATGTGTGAGTTTTTCTTTTATGAAAACAAAGTAGAGGAAACACCTGGCACACCGTCAGAGATCTTGGATTTGAAATCCTGTAGACTGACATTAGTTCCTCATCCTTCCTCATACATGTTTCAGGCAAAGTCAGATATGTAGTCTCAGGAAAGAGGCAACTGTTTTTAGGACAATTTTTAAGCTTTATAAGGTGAATAATAATGTGTTTACTCTTTCTTTGGAATGAGATTAGGTTGTAATGTAAAAGCAGAGCACGTGTGTTAAAGTGGAAGAAAAGAGGTCATGAAGTTTTAATTATTCTGTAAAAGTCATGTCTAAATATGCAGTTTGAAGTACCATATTGATTTATTTTTAATTCTGCTTTTCCCAGATTACCTGAACAACCTCTCGCCTGATTCAAAAGAATACGAGGACACTCAGGGTAAACCAGCAGAATGAGCCTTGTGATAAGAACCTGAACTATAAAATGTGATGTTTTATTGCGTGTGCACAGCAACACGTTTCAGGATCAACATGTAAATGGACTTACAGTAATTCAGTGTCTGTGTTTTGTCCTGTTTTTGTCTGCAGCTGCGCAGGTGATTGTGTCTGAAGTGGCAGACCAGGCCAACGACAACCTGAAACAAGGGGTGGGTTCCTAACACCACACACACCCCATGTGTTAAATCTAGTTATCACCCACCGCCCAACGCAAAGAGGAATAATGGTTTTATACATGTCTGTGCATGTGCTTGTTTGTAGTGTTAGCAAAATATCTAATGACCCACTGGAGGGTTTTTAATGAGACTCTCAGGACGTAATCGACTACAGCTGATTAGGTTTTGGCCTCAGTTCAAGATGTTCACCACAGCTACTCAAAATTTGCCAACACAAAAACAGCTATAGCAGCCAGTTTTGCAGATATTGAGCTAAAACTGGGTTTAGTTTTAGCTGAGAGTTATCCCCAACACAGCCTTTGAGTGCTAACACCAGTGGTGATTTTAGCCTCTTTATGTGGGTGCACAAGCACCCATCAATTTTAACAGCACCCCTGAAAAATTAAGAAACCATCATGAAGATTTTGTAAGAAATCTCAGTTATTAAACCTTAGATTCACCAAAATATTGAATAAACTTGGAATAAATAACAACACTTAAAGGGACCGGTAAAATCTATGTTTTTTTTTTTACAAGTTGGATCCTTGACTCCACCTGTCATCACTCCAGTAGGCTCGTCAGCAACTGATCAATCTGTGACCTCAATTCAATTTGCCCCGAAGTGAAACACCCCTTATCTGCAGGAGCTTGGGGGGTGGGGGGGGGGGGGGGGGAGGCCTGAGAGAAATGGAGCGCTACATCTGTAGCATAGTGCGTCTGTATTGTGTGCTGCAATACAGTTGTCAGCAGCTGTCGAGTGGGGATGGATGGGGTATATTAGGATGCAAGAGAGAAGCGGACCGTGCTCTATTCACACAAGGAGAGCTGTTGGTCAGGCTACTTCTTGTTGTGCCATTAACTCTAAAATAGTCACTGAATAAAGTGTTTTCTCGTGGAGGTAAAAATAGATGTTTAACAACTTGTTAAAACACATCAGAATGCAGGAAATTAGCATGTCGGGGAAGCAAAACTGGTCGGTGAGCGGCACAACATTTCTACTAGAAACTTTGAAAGAGCTCAAAATGGTCTGTATTACCTGTAGCTCAGGCAGGGAGTGCAGTAACGTCTTCACCGTCATTAAAACCTGCCGCGGGTCCATTTTGGGCACTCAGGTTTGTTTACGTTCATCCTGGAAGTAAACCAGAAGTAGAACTTCTTCTGTGTTTTTTAAAGGAGAGTTTACCTCTCTGCGCATGTCAGTACTTCTGTTCAGAATAAAAGCCCTCTGCATGTAAACGCTCATCGTGAACAAATTGCGCCCATGTAAACAATACATTTGGATTATTTAATCTTAATACATTTCAATCCGATCAAAGAATGTTGTGCTTGTAAACATAGCTGCTGTCAGCTGTGGGGGCTGAGCACCCCTAAAGCTCAGATTCTAGAATCGCCCCTGGCTAACACATCTTGCTGTCTCCTTCTTATGGAGAAAATTTAAACCTCCTTCATGGAAAGCAGTGGGCAATGTGCAATGTGCATGCCCTCTAAAGTCTTTAATGCTAGGTCTTTAATTTATCTCATGCTTAGTTTGAAAAATCCCCCTCAGTGTCGCTGTCTTTATATCCTGCTAGAAGTAGCAGTTGTCCAGCATGAAAAAGCCTCTGTGTGAATTTGTCTTTTAAACAATTATGTGGAGTGATGAAGAGGTTGAAGTAAACACAGGAGGCGAGGAAGGTTTATGTCATCAGAGGGTCCCGGGTGTGTCGTCACAAAGGGAGCAGTGTAAGGGAGGACATGACTTACGCTCCTCCTCAAACACGAGTAGTTCACGGAGATAATTAACAACACCCACCACCCCCCCCACGTGGTTCATGTTTTTCACAGTCAAGCTCCCCCGCGTGTCTTTGGCTCTCCTCCTTTGTTTATCACACTCTTTTCTGTCTTTTCTCTGCCCGTCCGCTAACAGACACATTCTGACAGACTGTGGAGACAGAGTCCTTCTGTCTCTTCCTCCCCATTCAGTCTCCATCCTTACATCCCATTTCATTCACAAACCAACAGGGATGGTTTGATCCTCTGTCCGCTCCTTCCATGCATCATCGGGTAATCTCCCTTCATCTCTCTGCTCCTCTTCTCCCGCAGGAGAACTTGCTGCGTCTGGTCCACATAGAGTACAGCATAAAGGGGAAGAGGGACGTTCTGAAGCCTGGCAGGGTAAGCATCATGAAGAGCAGCAACACGTTGCTCTCCACATCTAAACACCACAGTCTTTTGGGTTTAGTGACAACAGAAAGCTTTCATGGTGTTTCTCTTGGCAGATATTTGTCAAGGAGGGCACTCTGATGAAGGTCTCAAGGAAGAGCAGGCAGCCGAGGCACCTGTTTCTGGTAAGACCTCTTTTCTTGTCACTACTTCAAACCAAGCACATTATACAGCTAATATTATTATGGCTTGTTGATGAAAAGCAAAAGACAGGCAATAATGTGTGTGTGTGTTTGTCTACATATCAATTTAGAAAAATACCTCCCAAACTGCTGGACAGATTTAAATGAAAAAAGTTCAGAAAATAATCAGTGCTTGAACATCTGCATCTAATTCACGTTTAAAATCCGCCCATTTCAAAATGTCTGCTGAAACTAATTGATCCCAGACAACACAGAATTAACTAAAACTCGGTCAGTTTAAGAGATACAGAGTCTGATGTGGTAGTAGCTGTGAGTCATTGATAACACGTACTCTGAGCACTGAGTACTATCTCAACGTGCTGCAAATATTAAAGACTAGCTGGTAACTCCTGTGATGGACTGGAGGCCTGTCCAGGGTGTCCCCTGACTCTCGTACTGTGACGGCTGGACTTGGGCACCAGTGACCACCGCGACCCGAAAAGGAAGAAGCGAGTAAAAGATAAAGGACGGATGGATAAATCAGGAATGTAGTAATTCATCCAAAAGCATTATGCAATATTTCATACATATTTGCCATAATTAAAAGACTTTACTCTTTAAAGACCCACCCAGCGACTGAACTACAGGAAGATGCACCTGTCAGACTTTTTTATGTTGACAAAAGTGAAATCAGAGCTGGCTTTATGTCCAGAAAATGCTTCACAAAAGAATTCTGGGTGGAGGTAGGGGAGGTTAAGGGGTGGAGGGGAGCGAGGCCAAGGCTGTGAGACCTCCACTAAGCGCCACACCCGTCCAGGGAGGGCCTGCTCCTCCACTCTTCTCTACTCCCCTCTCAGGACTTGTTTTTAAGGGCCCCACTTCCTTACAGGATGTTTGGTGTGGGTCACTGGATGCTGGCTTCCTGTGTACTGGGAGGGGGCTGACAGCCAAGAGAAGGCCAGACACCCTGTAGAATGCGGGGAGGAGGTGGCAACGGAGGGGTGGGGGTGTTACACAAACACATAATGTGAAATTGAGAAGCCCACTCTATTGTTCAAAGTGCAATCAGTGCTGTCTCGTGGTATGAATTATGCTCAGGCCTGATATCCACAGCAGCAGTGGAGGATTCAGCTGAATCCAAATAAAATATAACATAAAGAATCTCTGTGGGTTGATTTATGTTGGGGGTTTTTTTGTGTGTGTGTGTGCTCTGTTCCATCAGTCTGTTGTTTTTCTAAACTGCAGCTAAATGTAGTTGAATCCCATCCATTTGGGCTATAAAGTTGTTTTCTCCTTTGAAGTCAGCAGTTTCAGGTGCATCAGGTGTTATTTATGGGCTTTTATGTGAAAGAGAATCCATCCAGTGAGGATGGAAAACCTGCAGAGACAGAAAGACACTGCCACCATGTCACAATCCAGGGCTCAGAGGAAAATAAGTATATAAAAGCCAACTGAACGAGCTAGGAAATGAGTAACAAGAATGATGGAGACAGCCGGCAGAGAGGAAGAGACAGCAGCAGTGAGTGAGCGGCAGGTGAAAAGGAAGGATGCATACAGACGGAGCTAAAAATGTTGAGGTTTCTGGTCCAAAGGGGGCTACATAGATGACTCTGGGTAGACTCATGAAGTTACTTCTGGGTTTTCTGCGGAAAGAATCTTTGGGTGGAGCAGACGGACTGTGGTGGCTGCAGCCAAGAGGTTACAGTCAGGGCTCCAACTTTGCGATCATTCATTGTTTAGTCTCCAACAGTTTACAAAGTCCGCTTGCCTTGTTGTTGTTGTTGATGTTGTGGTGAAGGTGGCTGGTCCCACCCAGTCCTGCTGGTGAAGCATGAGAAGGCTCTGAGGGTGAGGGGAGGCCTGGAGTCCAAAGCAGGGTGGAGAATTCCTGGATGCTGCCTGTACGGCCCCAGCGGATGTTTAGAGCGCACATTAGGTGTGACCAATGATGTCATTGCTTTTGTGCATGTTATGAAATACCTTCAGTAACACAATGAGTTCACAGCTTGTTCAGAGGATTGCACTATTCACACGTGCAAATAAACACTTTCTGTACAATTGTGGTCAGTGCTTTGAAACGAAACAAAATATTTAAAGGTGTAGCTTATTTTTCTAATCCATAAAAGGGCAGATAACACAATTTCATTCTTTAAAAAAAAAAGTTTTGTGGGAAAGCCAAACTAAAAACATTTTAGAACAGGGATAAAATTATATTAATAGCTTGCTTTCAAAACTTAAACCTGTGCAGCTTTTACACAGCAGAATACATACAATGTTAATTTATTTTAATATAAATCCGTTAGTCACTATCTTCTAACTTAACCAATGTTGATGTTGCTATAAATAATTGTTGCTCCATAAATAAATTGTTCCTTTAAGTAGCTGAGCCCTGAATCCTGAGCTCTCAGGTTAACACTGCCACCTGGTGGTCTTGATGTGAATTACATGCAGATCTGCTGGGTTCTCCCTAAACTATGACAGCTGTTCTATCTATATATAGTATATGCAATAATACTAAAGAAATCAGTTTCACACGTTGATCCTGTTTTTTCCTCTTTCTGTGTTCTTCATTAGATGAATGACATCATGCTGTACACCTACCCTCAGCAGGATGGGAAATACAGGCTGAAGAACACACTGTCTTTGTCAGGGATGAAGGTGTGTGACTCCTCTGACTGTTTAAAATGATCCTGAGGATTAACCACACAACTTTTAGATTTTATTTTTATATTTTAGCTGTTGATTTGTTGACCTTGTGATGTGACCTGTGATGTCTTTTAATACCAGGTGAGCAAACCGGTCCTGGACAACGTCCTAAACTGTCTGAAGATCGAGGTGTCTGACATCACTATTACTCTGTCTGCTGGGTGAGAAACAAGACAAACAGCCCGAGCTGTGAAATAAAACCATTACTGGAACCAGAACCCACCTTCTTATGTTTTAAAGCAGCTTTAAATGTGACGTCTGGAAGGTTTGGAAGAGACTAGTTGTGCTGATGTTTGCGTTTCTCCTCAGGTCGGTTGGAGAACGGGAGGACTGGTTCCACACTTTAAGTCGAGCCATTGCAGACCATGCAGCTGGACTCTGCACATTTGGTGGACCTTGCAGTGAGGTAGAAATTAAAAATAGCAGTGGCTTTTTAAATAACAAAACATATTGCTATGGGGTGCCGTTTGTAAAGTTACACAGTAAAAAATTAACAGTAATATTTTGTTTTTTTATCATTTCATATAAAAAGGTAGTTTTTCTTTTCATAGTCAGATTTTCACCATGTTATTTATGCATTTGTAAATGTCATAGTTCCAAACTAATTATTTAATTTGCAAGCTAACTATTTAATTTACAAACTAAATACTTAACTTGCAAGTTAAATATTTAGTTAGCAAGCTAAATATTTAGTTTACAAATTAAATGTTTATGTCCAAGCTAAATGCTTAATTTACAAACTAAACTGTATAAATAAAAGTTGAATTAATTTCATTTCCAAAATAAATATTTAATTTACTAAATAAATATTTAGCTTGGACCTAAATGTTTAACTTGTTAGCTAAATGTTTGACCTGCAAGTTAAACATTTAGGTCTGAGCTAAATATTTAGTTAGCAAATTAAATATTTATTTTGGAAATTAAATGTTTAGCTTGGAAAGTAAATATTTAGGTCAGAGCTAAATATTTAGTTAGCAAATTCAATATTTTGTTTAAGAAATAAATGTTTAGCTTAGAAAATAAATGTTTAGTTTGGAAATTAAATGTCTAGTTTTGAAAATAAATATTTAACTTTGAAATTAAATATTTAATTTACACCAAAATATTTAGTTCACTAACATAAACATTCAGTTTGTCAACTGAATATTTTGTGTGGACTTAAATATTTAGCTTGCTAAATAAACATTTAACTTGCAAGTTAAATATTTAGTTAGCAAGCTAAATATTTAACTTGTAAATTAAATATTTAGTTTGGAACTTTGGCATTTATAAATGTATGAATAGCATAGTGAAAATATGACTGAAAAAAAAAAAAAACTTTTTTTCTAATAAACCAAAAATATTGCTGTTAATTTTTGACTATGTAACTTTACAAACGGCACCCCATATTTTTCTTCCTACTTACTGCTTCTCATATTTTAGCACCATAAATAAACTTCATACGTCACCAGTGACATCACAGAAAATGTTAGGTCTGACACCCGTCTGTTGTGTCTGTGACATTTCAACGTCCTGCCAATATTGTCCCATCAGGCCCGAGAGAAGCTGTGGATGGCCCTGGGTGAAGCTGCGCCTGAACTGGTGCCCATTTCTCAAGTGATGATGTGCATGAACTGTACGGCTGACTTCAGCCTCACGCTCAGACGACACCACTGCAACGCCTGCGGAAAGGTCAGACACTCAGCAGCCTCAAAACTCGCTCAGCTTGGGTTTGAAATATTCAAGAGGTTACTGACATTATCTGCACTTTGATCTGCCCTTCCTTGAGTCTCCTGTGAGAGTTTTTACTGGTGTCATGGATCATACCTGGCTGTGGATCGGCAGTCTTAAAGATTTTACATAAATGCATTTTATCTCTCTGAGCAGGTGGTGTGCCGAGCCTGCTCCAGGAACAGATACCCTTTGAAGTACCTCAAAGACAGAGTGGCTAAAGTGTGTGATCACTGCTACGCTGAGTTCAGGAAAAAAGGTGAAAGCTTTTTTTTTAATGTAAAAAGCCTGTGTTCTATAAAAACCCAGTGATTCTCAGAAAATAGTCTTTTTCTTTTGCTGTTTTTACCACAGTAAGATGATAACTTGTCTGCAGGTGGCAGCATATCAGGAGCATGTGGGAACGCCAGCCCTCGGTCTCAACGGGCCAGTCGTCCCCTTTCTTCTGTCTTCCAGAGCCTGCAACCTCCCAGTCTGTGGAAGTCCAGAAAGAGCACCTCCAGTCTCAGTCAGGTGGGGTACTGGTCTAACAATGGTTTCTACATATAACCTCCAACACATGTTTAAATTTCAGGAAGACAGTTTCTCAGACACAGTCTAATAACAACTACCGTATTTTTTGGACTATAAGACGCAATATCAATGAACGGGTCTGTTTTCATACATAAGGCACACCGGGTTATAAGGCGCATTAACCAAAACAAAACAGTCAAACTTTATTCAACTGATTCACAATAACCATATAAAATCAGTTTGAGGTCAGTAAGCACAACCAAAATTAAAACATAAGGTGCATCTTATTATAAGCCTCACTGTTGATTTTTGAGAAAATTAAAGGATTTAAGTGCACCTTATAGTCCGAAAAATACGGTACATAATGTCCCTCTGTAAATAAACAACCAATTTATTCGTGTGCATGCATGCATGTGAACGTGTGTGTGTTTAACCCGTCTGACTCCATGCCTTCTAAATGCCATCAGGTGTCTCTCGGTGTGGAGGGCTCCACCATGAGCGGAAGCCTGCAGCGCCGGAAGAAGAGCAAAAGGAAATGGAAGAGATTGTGGTTCCTCCTCAAAGACAAGGTGCTCTACACCTTCACAGCCCGTGAGGTGAGGGGGCACAGAGTCTCCCGCACCAGCCCCAAAACACCCACATCTGTCTCTCATGCAGGCAGCAAAAGGCCACGACCACAGCTTGTGTTCGTCTTTATGGCTCGCCCTACTTTAATTTCACCAAGCTTTTTCAGCCTCGTGGGCAAATCACTGATCGACTAATAAAGGGATTCTCTGTGCTCTCTCTCTCTTTCTTTCTCTTTTCTTCTTCTGACAAGTGCACAGCTGTGATTCTCACTGCTTTGCTTTTCTCCAAGCATGAAATACGAGCTGCTTTCTTGGTGCTCCTAACAGCAATGCTGACATTTGTAATTTGTGGAGTGTTTGATGTTCTCGCTCTGTTTTCTTCAGGATAAAGTGGCTTCAGAAAGTCTGCCTCTGCAGGGCTTCATGGTGAAGCTGACCGAGAGGCCGGAGGGAGAGGAGAGCGGCAACGTGTTTCATTTGTACCACAAGAAAACCCTCTACTACACCTTCAGAGCTGACGATCCGCACACTGCTCGCAGGTCAGCACCAGTGTTTTGAGCCGTGATGACGTGAAGAGTTTGTCTCTGGAGGAGGAGATTCTCTGAAGTAGAACTCAGTTCATGTCATCTCAATGAGAATTCCTCACTTTTAGACCAACAGGGAGATGAAGGGTTTCCATTAAAACAAGACAAAAACAGGAAGAACAAAGTGTCCTGCCTCTGACTGTTCTAATAAACACTAATAGAACGTCTCGTCTGTTTGTGTCCTTACTAATGTGCGACAAAGCAGTTTAGACCATGTTCTGTATTTTCCGCCATACCCGTCGCACCGCTCTACAAGTCGCATCAGTCCAAATATGTCTAAAAAAAGTGGAAAAATCCATAAATATGTTGCTTCGCCACATTGCATCTATTATGCATCACCGCTGACAACCTGGAAATGTGGGCCGGTGTTGTGCCAAAAATCGATGGGTTGCCAAATGACGGCCGCGGGAGCGTGCACGGGATGACTTTAACAAGAATTTAACGAGAGTAACACTTAAAAACAATTATTTGTTTGCTCGAAATTATAGTAAAAGTGTGTCTCAGTTGGACTTTTGCTTAATAAATGCACTTTAATGGACAAATTAGTTGCATTTTGCCGGGGCGGTGCAGCTGGTTTGACTTGTTCCAAGCAGCGAGCAGAATGAAGGTGGGAGCTTTCGCAAGCCGATTGTGTCATTAATAGCTGGTGAAGATCCTCAGTCATCCAGGACATGGTAAATTCAAAAAAGTTAAAGACAAAAACAATAATGTGTAAAGTATAATAAATAAAGTCCATTTTTTTTGTCTTGAACTTTTTTGAATTTGTCATTAATAGCCACATTAACAGCCAGCTATTACATGATACAATGAGGGCAGCATGGTGGTGCAACTGGTAGAGCTGCTGCCTCTCAGCGAGCAGGTCCCTGGTTCAAATCCCGGTCTTGGTGCCTTTCTGGGTAGAGTTTGCATGTTCTCTCCATGCATGTGTGGGTTTCCTCCAGGTACTCCGGTTTCCTCCCACAGACCAAAACATCCATGTTAGACTGATTGGTAACTCTAAATTGTCCCTGGGTGTGAGTGAGAGAGTGAATGGTTGTTTGTCTCTATGTGGGCCTGTGATGGACTTGTGACCCGTCCAGTGTGTACCCCGCCCCCCGCATAGTGACCGCCGCCGGCCACGGGCACCGGCGACCCCCGTGACCCAAAATGGAAGAAGCGGGTAAAAGATAATGGATGGATGGATGTTTCAACGGCATGCCTTTATACTCTGCTGCCATCTAGTGGCTGAAAGTGGTACTGTTAATTTGTTTTGTCATGAAAGAAAACGTCATATCTCAGCCAAAAATTGGTTTATAAATATGGGAAAAAATCCATAAATACGTTGCTTTGGTCTTTAAGTCACAGGGCATGTAAAATTATGCAAAAAACTGTGACGTATAGACCGAAAAATATGATAAATGTCAAAGCTGGTATTTTAGCTCTGAACAAACACACTTGTTAGTTGTTGTTTTTTTAGGCTACTATTTATCGGCTCACCAAGAACAACAGAAAGCAGGTTGTTTTGCCTATCAGTGTATTTGTGTGCCTTTGTCAGTGTATTTGTGCGATTGTCCGTTATCACGTGTGTTCATGAACCTCTAGATGGGTTTAATGAACTTTCAGAAAGTAATCCAAGGGTCTGCATCATTAAATGATTAACTTTTGGAGTCTGTTAAAGATGTCGTTCACATCCAGATGACCGTAGTATACATAAAATGTCTAGAATTCAGTCACTTATATAGTAATAATTTGTATGTATTGTCATCATTGTATGTTCCCATACAATGGCAAAATTGGCTCTCTGCATTTAACCTATCCACTACCAGTTGGAGCAGTGGGTGACCTTGAGCTACAGTTTGATGTGGTAGTTGCTGAGCATCATTCCCAACACAGCTCATTCTTTTGCTCATAACTTGTAGCACAAGATTATAGAAGAGAGTTGGTAAATTTACTGCAGTCGTTCTCTTTAACTCTGTTCTATCCCCAGTCATGAACAATGGTTTGAGATACGTTAACTTCCTTACCTAGGGAAGTTGTTAATTGTCAAAAGAAAACAGGCAAACCACCTATTCTGGTTGAGGACCATGATCTTTGACTTAGAAGTGCCCTCTTAATATATGTCCTTTATATTACAACCTCATTTCTGACAAACATTTTGTGTCAAAAAAAAAAAAGTGGTACAAATAAAAAACACCTGGAGGATCATTTAATATCTACTGCTAATTAGGGTAATTGACAGCAGGTCAGTAAAAAGACAAAAAGAGCATTTAAAAAAAGCTGAATCTCTCAGAAGTAAAGATGGGCAGAGGTTCACTAGTCTGCAAAAAAAAAAGCTAAAATCAAAATAAAGACTGGATCTAAAAACGATGAAACAATTTCAACAAAAAATGGGAAGGCTTTGAATACACCACTATCTACAGCTCATAATATCAGCAAAAAAATTCACCAATCTGGAGAAATCTCTGAGATCAAAGAACAAGCTTGGAAGTCAATATTGGTTGATCTTCAGGCCCCCGGGGGCCACAGCATTGCGTGGGCTCACAAACACTTCCATGAATCTGTAAACTAACTTTATCATGCAGAGACGAAGCTGTATGGGGACACCATGCAGAAAATGCTGTCTTTTCTGCACCGAAGGTCCTTCAAGGACTGAGACAAAGTGGACAACTGTTCGGTGGTGAGACAAATTCAAATTTGAACTTTGAAAACAAAGAAGAGAGGGACCCGTTATCACAACATATTTCAAAATCTTACCTACGGTGATGGTATGGGGTTGCATTAGTGCCTTTTACACAGGCAGCTTTACAATTTACACAATGTACCAACTTTACAGTTTGTATAACAGCCCAAGAAGGACAAAAAGACAATCTGCTAAAAGTTCTAACGCTCTGTGTTTCAGATGGGTGAACGCCATGGAAGAGGCTACAGTTTTATAGCACCTGCTTGAACCAGTGAAGAAGTCCTGCTGTCCGTGGCTGCTTGAACTCCTCTGTGGAGCACAACAAAACTACCTGCTTCAGCTGAACACAGGAAAACTCACGCACCGTCCTGGGAAGGGATGAATAAACACCACCCGTGGATCTTACACAACACTGCCGCCCTGAGGCAGGAGCTGAAGGAAAGATATTACCCTGAAAAACGAACCACACACTAAAGTTCACAGAAGCCTTCACTTTCCAGGAGCAGCAACATCTGAGAGCTGGAACAGAAGTTTGTTTCCTTTATCCTCCTCTTTTCCAAGGATCATCTCACTGAAGTCTACTGTACAGCCGATTGAACTTTACTGTATTATTATGTGAGAGATTTTTGTCCAAAATGGCACCAAATGTGTGTTCACATGATCAGCAAAGGAAAAATAGGGTTAAACAAATGTGCTCATAAACATGCACATGCATATTTATGTGTGCATAGAGTTATTAAGACAAGACCAAAGAGGATTACTGTCATCCTTTAAAGAAAACTTTACATTACGCAGTAATTCTGGCAAAAATATTAGGATATTCATGCGAGAAATGTTGCAGGCTGTACCAGAAGAGCTACAGCTAGCTGCCGCTGTCACTACTGGCACGTACAGAGGCAAGTTTTATCGAATACACCAACTCATGTTTGATCGGTCTCATGTGAAGCTCTCTCTTGCTCTTTCCACATCAAAATCAAAAATGGCTGAAAAATCCAACCTTGTTTCCAGCTTCTGATGTAGCTAACTGTCACGAGAAGTCTGCACTAAATTAAGTATTTATCTGTTTTTTTAAGCAAAGTAAGAAGCGATAAAAATATTTTACGTTTTAAATATCATCTTGAGGGGCCAGGCAAGATGTTAAGAAGGGCCAGATTTGGCCCACAGGCCTCAATTTGACATGTAACTTTTGACAAGTGTTATGACAGTAGACCAAAAGTCGCCACCTTCTCTCCTTGGGAACTGAAGCCAGCAGGACTCAGTTCATGGGAGCTGCCATGTTGTACTTTTGGATCCAGAGTCTGTGCTGTGAGGATGTGCAGCTTTACGTGTCAACTACTGCCCCACACACAGTTGTGATGTCATGGCCTTTCTTATAAGCATGAATGTACTAATTCATAATCCATACTATCCTACGCTAGACGTAGTAGCTAAATAAATATTTTCACATGCAGCAACAAGGTTAGAGCTACATGAATCATTCATTCAACCTTTATTTAGACACTTTAGTCCCATTGAGCCTCAGGGACTCATTTACAAGAAAGACCTGGACAAGTCAACCCCTCAAAAATGACCTGAAATGTTTGTAATAAGTACAAAGTTGTGATTATTTACAGCAGGGGTGTCAACTCACTCACTAAAAGGGGCCAAAATTAAAACCTTTTTCAAACTTAGGGCCGGTTTCAGAATCTACATGAACTCAAGTTAGATACCAAACATCTTTTCTTGGTCACAGGTTCCTCAACATGAGTTTGATTGGGTCTCATTTGACGTTCTCTGTTGCACTTTTGACATCATAATCAAAGATTGCTGAAAAAAAAATTAAAGTTATAAAAGTATTTTACATTTCAAATGACATCTTGGGGGCCAGATAAGATGTCAACGAGGGCCACATTTGGCCCCTGGGCCTTGAGTTTGACATATATGATTTACAGGCAGGGGCCAAATTTAAAACCTGCATTGAAACACTTATCCAGCTTCAACTTCCAGGATCCTATATTTGGTCCAGTAATGTAATATAAAGTATTTGGACATTACAACATAGCATTTGTATGAGCTGCTGTGAAATTTTTAAGATGGGAGTGTTTTTTATTTTTATTTTTAAAGAGCTGCAATCCACTTTGGTCTTAGACTCCTTTGGACTAGCTGTTAGCTCATTAATCCAGGTAAACTCCATTTCTCTAAAATGACATTGTTCAAAAACCTATCTATAACAGGTAAGATATTAACTGTTCATACCTTTTCCGCTGAACTTTAAAAAAGTCTGGCCTTTTCCTTTAAGGTTGTTAAATGTGAACTTTGATGTTTTGTTCATGACGATGGATCATCTTGATCCAGTTCAGGGACGTCACCAATGATTGTCAGGTGGAGGGTGGGGGTGGGGGGTGGAGGGTGGGGTTACACTCTGGACATGACACCAGTTCATCACAGGGCCAACACAAAGACAAACAATCACACATGCATGTTTTGGACGATGGAAGGAAACGAGTACCCAGAGAAAACCCACAGAACGGCTTCAGGTGAAATTTGAACCCAGGACCTTCCTCCTGCGAGGTCATCTCACTTACCGCTGCTCCACCAGGCTACACCCCCCACCAGAATTACTGCAGTTATTCCTATTTTTCATTTGCTGATCCTGTGGAAATATTTGAGACAGACTAAAAACGTCTGTTTTGTAACACACTGAATCATGCTCTCACACATGCAGCATCACTTTGCAGCAGCTCCTCATCAACATGCATATCAGTGTAAAGGGCGAAGTATGTAACGTCATTTTACAAATGTCGTTTATATATATATATAGTGAAGTATACTCTGCAGATTTAGAAGTGAAACATATTTGTATAATAAATGGTGTTCTATAATAGTCCGAGTAAGTGAACGTTATATTACTGGTGGAGTTTCATGCAGTGTTCTTCAATTTCATTGTACCCCCTCAGCATGGCATTCGCTCAACAATGAGCATGATTAAAGAGAAGCAAAACTTTTCATCCGTGGGTTTTTACGTGTTTTTGTCACACAGTTCTGAAGTGCCAAATTGCTTTCTTGCAGTTGAATGCAGCCTGATTTGCATTTACTGATGAATGTGCCTGAAATTAAACCGTACTCCTCTTTCTTGTCACTATCACAGTACTGTATGGACATATCTTGTATTTTTTATTGTTCTCTTGTACATGCTGAACCCTTCCATTATTTTTAACAGCTGTGTCACTATCCAGAAACATCGAGTGCAGTGTTGTGACTTTTTTATCAAAGCATTTTCTGGCATTATACTCGGTAATGAAATACTGATGGAGAGATTTGACCTGCTTTCATCTTCAGCTGAAAGAAAAATGTATAACATTTACTGCTCTAGTAGAAATACTTGTGCTTTTTTTTTCCTGAAATAACCGACCGAAAGGCATTATTTGTTTCACTCTGAATGCAGCTGTTTTTCACATATCCCTTCACCCATCATGTAGCATTAAAGCACACATTTTCAGTCAAGTTGGTTCAGTTTTCTGTTTCCTCCCACCTATAGTGTCATTAATAATGGATTGTATTTCCATCCCATAGTGCATTGTGAATGTCTTTGTACATAGAAGCTTATGTAAAAAGAATAAACGGTCTTTAAAAGGTTATACAATGGACGATAACAGTTTAAAGCTGAAATGTGGATCTGTTCATTTGGAAGTTGTTTCTTATTCAGAAGCTGTTTTGATTAAATGTCCAGTGTTCTTTGAGGGAATGATACCCGCTGCCTTTCAGGTCAACGTTTGAGACCGAGATCATCTAATGTCGACAAATGACAGAGTTCTAGTTGTTTTGGTCAAACCTTTTAAGTAATGTTATACAGTGATGTCATGGAGTATCCACTGTTAAAGACTCTCAGCTACTCAAACATCTAATTTAATTCAATATCTGTAAAAAATGACTAATTTATAGCTGTTTTTATGATAGACAATGTTGATTAGCTGTGGTAGCCATCTTGAACTGTATTGACTCCAACAGTTAATCAATTGTAGATGAACATCTAAGCATCACTTTCCAAGAGTTTCATTAAAATTTGTCCATTTGTTCTTGAGATGTTTTGCCAACAGACAAACAGGACTGACACCAGTTAATGCCAACGTTTTCAGCGAGGTTCCTGCATAATCAGTTAGTGTTTTTAATCAGTGCTAAGGATCAATTATCTCAACAACTTTTAGGTCAATGTCTATAAAATAGTCAGAGTTATATGTTTGTGTGCTTTTAAGTTAAATTGTCCTCTCTTACTGTACAGTGCTTTGTCGACCTGTTCATGCTCTGCAAAGTGCTTCACAACAAAAAAACAGTGGGCATGTTTAAAAGTACATTATTTACTGTACCAGACTGCAACTTTGCAATCTGTCTGACAGCACTGCAGATAAAACCATGCAGAGCAGCACAGCTTACTGTGCTGCCCTTTTCTCTCTGCAGGGATAGACATATGAACACACACTCTTTGATTTGTGCTCAAAACTGACGTGCACGTGTTGGGTAAATCAGTAACACTTTACAATAAAGGTGCACACAATTTGATTAACTACTTTGATCAACTACTAGGGAAAACCAACAAATCAGGAGCTAATGGGTAGTTAACCAGGGAACACACAGCCAAGTCTTATTAGGGGACTACTGGTTAGTTACCACAGAAACAGAGGAGAAATTCTCCATGTGGGTTCTGAATAAACCCTGCACCAGGGAGGTCAGAGCTCATAATTGTCAAAAACCTTTTTCCTAGTGATTATTGATTTTATTGGATTTTCTCTTTTGTAAACCTGTTGATGAAAGACATTATCAATTTCATAATCTTGTGCTGGTGTCATCTTAACTATGTCTGACTATCACGTACTGAGTATCAAATCATTGCCTGGCTATTATTTTGTTCACTGAAGCATCATACCAAGTACTGAGGAACCAGTCATTACTTGATCACTACCTGACCATTACCTGCTGTTTCTGTGTACCCTAAAGTAAAGTGAAAAGTGGCTGTGTTCCCCAGTAAGTACTGGTTAACTACTCGTTAGCTCCTGATTGGTTCCTGAGGCATTCCTAGTTAATCATATTTTGTGATTCAGTTCAGTGTTCTGAGATGACTTCTGTTGTGATTTGGTGCTATATAAATAAACTGAATTGAATTGAATTGTGCACCTTATTGCAAAGTGTTACCGGTACGGCCGTCCTACATCCAGCAGGGTGCAGCAGTTCATCACGCCACATTTAGGATGAACTTTTTGCCAACCATAAACAAGTTCCTCCTCCAGAGGGACTGAGCCACAGCTGGTGGAGTAAACAACTGAGTTTAAAGAATTACTTCCTTTAAATAAGAATACCGAGCTGCTTACCACCGTCATAAAATCTGAATTCACTCCGATTCATGAAATAAAAAATGGCAAACGTCAAAGTGCATTTTAAGTGTGAAGCTAGTTATCTGGTGC